TTGTGAAACCTCGAAATAAGAAACCATAAAACACTAAAAATATCATATATGTCTCCAACTACGAAGTTATGCCAACAAACAAAAATCCACTGTACGTCTGAAACTATGATGTTTACGACAATGAAATTCAATGGATTCCTATACCAAGGTTTCAATGGGTATATGTTGTCTTGAAATAGGTTGTTTTCAATTGCACTATATAACTGACGCATCCAATGCAAAACCGATCATGTTCAGGTTCTGTCATGCCCTCATTTGTACCATGAACGTCTTCCGTGGATGGATATACGATGTAATAGACGTAAATTTCTTTATCAATATAATCAAAATAAGTAGACATTTAATATCTCTTTATTGGTATTGTTACCAGTCTAATCGTTCCAACACCTAAATACAAACTTCTTAGTGTCCTTGTTTAGTTCTTGAACTGTATTAACACCGCTGCTGAAAGCATTATTCCGTCCCATTTGAATAAATCGCTTTGCTTTTGTTCCATTAAAATTCCAAAATATCTTTAAAAACGAAGCAAACTTCCGTTTTAAAATGTTCCTTTAAAATTCTAATGAATTTAAGGTAAAGTGACTTAATGACACATCGATATCAATTTAGCATTATATGTAGTAACAACATTAGCGGTACCTATTTTACTGCACTCGACAATTAATATCTTTACAGTGATGATCGAGATCAAAATATTTGAAAATCCGAAACCAAATACAAATGATAAAAGCTGGTAAAACAAAAAAGGACCAAACGTAAAGCCAAACCCGGACTATATATATATATATAAATCAGAGATATGCACAAGGAAGATATGTTCCTTAATTATTAATGATTTCGTTATAATAGCAAATTTAAAAAGAAAAAACAAATATGCGTATGTTCATGCTAGTGCCAAATTTCTGGCTACTGGGCTACTGAAACCCTAAGGAATTAATATTCTACCAGCAGAGATATCGACTAGGGGTATCAATTACATTAACGATACTGGTTGGACTGCACCAGATGCACATTTCATCTGTCGAGACCCGATTACAAAGTTTTCATATCAAAAAACAAAACATTTGTCTTGCAGCATGAAGAAGAAAATTCAAAGTTAATTAGAATTTTTAAAAAATGCCTCTGATATTTATCTTTTTATCAGAAGACAATAATGGTAATAGCTGTCCTTTCCTAGATTTAGATATTTAAGTTTCACACGGGAAACTCTACGCTAAAATTTATTGTTAATTTTCCTTTTTTTTGGGCGGTGATGTTCCTTTGGCACTATCTTACGGTGTTTATATATCACAACTCGTTCGCTATGCCCGTGTCTGCTGTGACGTTTTGGATTTCAATGAACGTAATCTATGTATTACTGGTAAATTATTAAGTCAGGGATTTCGTTACCACAAATTACTTAAAACCTTTACTAAATTCTTCCCTAAATATAAAGATTTGGTTTTGAAGTTTGGTTGTACCTGTAGAAAACTTATTTCAAACGGGAAAGCACATCCTAATTTTTACGGAGATGTTGTTTACCGAGCCCGGAAACTTAGAAACGATCCGAGTAAACTTATCAGTCTTTTAAATAAATTTATCATAAAAAGGTTACCGATTCAACACTGTAATTAGAACTTTGAATATTGATTTTGTTATCAGTAAATTAAAAGCAAACTTAATATTATTTGTATATACATATGCATATTCATGGCTATATAATCTGTCGATACCTGTATCTTGGCATTGCACAAGGTCATGTTTTTCTCTGACGGTTTATGACGTCCTTACACTAAATCCATTGGATGTTGGGTGTGTACTGATTGACATTTTAGTCTTAGATGCATGATTTTTTTTATTAGTTGTCATTGGCTTTGAACTAGCTGTCAGTAACTGCGAGAACTTTTAGATCTGTACTTAGTGTCTTTTTGTTGCGGGGATGTATAAGTACCCTGCCACGTCCACTTTGTGTTTTTGTTACTTGTTTTTGCTTTGTATCTATATGATGAGTTAAGCCCTTTTCAACTGATTTTTACATTACTGTCCCAGGTTAGGGGGAGGATTTGGCGGCCGTTAACATGTTTAACCCCGCCATATTCTGTATGTGCCTGTCCCAAGTCAGGAGCCTGTAATTCAGTGGTTGTCGTTTGTTGCTGTATATCATATTTGTTTTTCGTTTATCGTTTTGTACATAAATCGTTAGTTTTCTCTTTTGAATAGTTTTACATTTGTCATTTCGGGTCCTTTTATAGCTGACTTTGCGGTATGGGCTTTGCTCATTGTTGAATGCCGTACGGTGACCTATATTTGTTAATTTCTGTGTCATTTGGTCTCTTGTGGAGGATTGTCTCATTGGCAATCATACCACATCTTCTTAATTTTATAATAACAGTTAACATTATTTTTTATGAAAACGACAACGTCGTGGCAACAAGCAACTTAATCTATTGCCAGGAATTTCTCTAGTATATCTTCATCGATATACTAGTAGTTTTCTTGAACGAATGTCTTACGTGACACCGTTCATTGACAAACACTTTCTTTATACATGTATAATAAATTATGAGGTGGAAATTGCAATCATTGAATTTGTTGACGGTTTGATGAATCAAAATAATGAATTCGTTCGAAAGAAAGATATTTCGATGGATCAAACTCATCATTATTTCGTTTCAGAGAAAAATATTTTTGGGAACTGCTAGATAATGTGATTTTCCACATGTCGCCTACCAAGGTTGCCTACCAAGGTACACATCATATACCATTGTATATGTTAAATCAATAAACAATCATTCGTGTATTGGTCACTACGAGGAGTACCTATAGATCCTTGATTTTGTGATCTCGTGAAGACAGCATCGCCTGTATTAAGCGTATGTATGACAAATTCACTTCTCCTAAGGATTGAGATACAGTCCACACTAACCCATTGACCATGTTATTGATCAGGCCTACGGAAATATCATCACCACCAGCGCATGTTGTCCAGGTGAATGTGTATGTTCCAGCGATAGTAGTAAATATTCCCGTTAAAGTACTGTAGCCATTTCCGACGTTGCACTCGGTTTTATCATAAACCAGTTCCCGTTGTTCTCCGAAAGTTCTAGCGTTAAATGAAGACGATTTGTATGCTGAAAATGCCACACCAGAGGCTGGATGGGTGGTTGGGAGCAAGAGTCTTATATACGATTCTGTGTTTCTAAAATTCAAAACAAGACAAAATAATGCTTGAAAATTGGATATGACGTTCTATATTTCACATATAAAAGGCTTATTTTTACCGTGGTGTTGTTAATCGAGCCCGTTAGTTTAGATACGACCCGTGTAATCCTTTCGATTCTTTAAACAAACTTATTATAACATGTATAAACGGTTACCAACTTAACACTGTAATAATCCTTTGAATGTTGTTTTATCGGTATAGATATTGATTTTGTTATCAATAAATTAAAACATAACTAAATATAATTGCTTTAAAGTTGTGAACATTTACGGTCCTACATTCTGTCGATACAAATGTTTTGCATTGTACAAGATCATGTTTTCTCTTTGACAGTTCCTGACTTCTTTACACTAAATATTTTGGATGTGTACTGATTGATAATTTTGTGTCTTAGATACATGATTTTTTATTAGATATAAGAAAATTTTTGTTGATATTAAATTGGAACTACTTTTCAGTAAATGAAATGGTTCAGACACAAATAAAATAGTTAAGTACTGGTCAAGTAAAGCTCAAGTACAAGTTCAGACTGTTAAGTATGGTTCAGATTGCAGTCGAGTAAAAAAGGCCGATATCTGTACTCGACTGCACTGATTTTAACTCGACCAGTCTGAATTGGAAAAAAGGTCAGTTTCGTTCTATAGATAAAAGTGTGCTATCTGGGCTGGCGATTCAAAGTATAGGTCATCGTACAGGCGTCAAGAACACATCAAACAAAACCCCAACTATGAAAGCTCCGCTATCACAAAATGTGAATAAATACTAACGAGAAACCCAACAGTCTGATTAATGAGAGAAATCAAATCACAAATAAAGTAGTTTACAATGAAAATAGGCTCATTTTCAATGTGTAGCTGTAATGTTTACGTTTTTCATGTGCCAGTTTTCTCTTATCAGTCAGAGTTATGCAGATTGGTTTATTTTAAAGCTGCCGCTACATCATGTTACGATAAATCATGACTGATTTTATCTTTAGGTGTCATTCAAAGACATATGTACGGATTTCGTCGAATATATTCCTTTTTCTATAATATTTACATAATGACCAGTACATAATAATTTGAATATCTGCAGTTCAAGTCATCAATATCTACTCTTACAATGATTAACCAAATATTACCATTTATTTGAAATTTAATTCCTTTATTTATTGTCTTCTGCATGCAAATCGGTACAAAACTTGATACTGCTTTGGAAAGCCGTATACCCATGTTCATCTTTTGAACTTGAAGTTGCCCCACACAGAAGTAATATTCGCACGGCGTCCACAGAAGGAAATGTGGTATATTCATCACTTTCTATTTTTGAAGTATTAGGATTTACTGCTAAATGCAGCAGTGTTTGATTAACAGTTCCTCTGGGATCTAGGTGAACCAGTCGGCACACAAGATTGACGAACTTTTCACGTTGGATTGGATCTGAGACCCTGATACAGGTGGATACAGTGTAACGTTAGTTCCATTAGATACTGTAAATTCAGAAATTATTGCGATGTTTTTATTATTGCGAAAAATGCAACAGGGTTATAATCGCAATAATTTAAACTCGCATTTTGAAATTTTTTATATGAATTAAACAGGATTTTTCTCAATATCGCAAAAATCAAAATCGCATTTTAGTCTGAAATGACAAAATCGCAATAATAAATGCACGCAATAATTTCTGAATTTACAGTACTGGTATTGTTCAATGTCTGCTAAGTTTATTGGGAACACTCTCAGAAACCGCTTTCCGCATTTCATTTGGTTAACTAATAAGTCAATAGTTGCTATCAAATCGTTTATGTCCAGCTAAAAAATAAAAATAATCCATTTGCAAAGCGTACACATTATGTAAAAAGAAAATAAAGGTAATCCATTTGGAAAGTGTACAAATAATATAACGAAGAACAATTCGGTTGATTGCTTATTAAAAAGTAATACCAACCTTAGCTGACTGTGCGGTATGGGCTTGCTTATTGTTGAAGACCGTACGGTGACCTATAGTTGTTAATTTCTGTGTCATTCGGTCTCTTTTGGAGAGTTGTCTCATTGGCAATCATACCACATCTTCTTTTTTTATATTTATAGTGTGTAATAGAAACAGAAAGTTCAGCCATTTGCAAAGCCCACAATAAAATAAAAAAAGAATGTGGCGGGGTCAAACATGTGTGTTAAGTGTAACATCACAATATATGAAAAAAACTGTTATGATTAGTCGGAAAGGGCTGGCCTCGGTGCAGAGCATTACAAACAATCGGTCGACATTTAAAATTAGAGGGGATAGAGATTGCAAAAAACGAGTATGACCCTGTAATATGTTCGTCTGTCTTGTCAATGTTGTCTTAAGTCATATCTGTTTTAGTTTATTTTTATGAGAATCTGGTATTTAATAGCTTCTATAATATAATAATTATATAATGGCTTCTTATTGCTAGTAGTCCTTTGTTATTACTGTAATTTTTCTAGGTTTCTTCTATTACCTTATCTAACATCGGACTCGGACTTCTTTTAAACTGAGTTTTACTGTGCGTATTGCTGTGTTTTTTTTTTTTTTATTTTACAATGGCTAGAGGTATAGGGGGAGGGTTCAGATCTCACAAAACATGTTTAACACCGCCGCATTTTTGCGCCTGTACCAAGCCAGGAACCTCTGGCCTTTGTTAGTCTTGTATGCTTGTTTTAATTTTAGTTCATTTATATGTTTCGGATTTTACTGTGACGTACATTTTCGCTGAACTAGTATACATTGTTTTAAGGGGCCAGCTGAGGACCACCTCCGGCTGCGAGATTTTCTCGCTGTTTTGAAGACACATTGGTGGTCTTCGTCTGTTTTCTGCTCTTTGGTCGGGTTGTTGTTTCTTTGACACATTCCCCGTTTCCTTTCTCAATTTTATCTATTACTTATTCAAAAGATTTTACTATTTAGATTTTGGCATACTTGTATGATTTGAACACCTGTCTATTGTAAAAGACTTTATGTTGATCTCACGATGTCTTTTGGTTATATAAGAATAAAGAGATGTGGTATGATTGCCAATGAGACAACTATCCACCAAAGTTCAAATGAAGTGTATGTCGTTGGGTTGCTGCCTCAGTGAGATTTACTAATTATTTCATTTTATTCATGTATGGTATACCTTGTCCGTTGTAGAACTGTTTTCACATGCACGCTGCATTTCACAAAATGCATATATTACTTTACGAGCAGAATAAATAGAATTTCTGTCTAATGGATCTTCTTCTTTGAACCTTAACCTATATGCATATTTCCATAGATTTATACACGTTTGGTAACAACCGTTTTCTAAATATACTTCTCCACGATACATAATTTCTGAAGATGTATTTACATGATTTTCTCCGTAAATGCGGTAATATTTAAGTAATGCCTGCATGTGAATATCATTTGGATCCGTTAGTTTCTGAACTTCGTCTACCGTCAACAATTCGTTTGCATTCTGAAATACATCTGGATTGTTTGTAATACAATTCAAATGTGTTACCCCAAGGTCTGATTTAGAACGTATTTCTAAAGCTTTCGTCCATACTGTTAAACACTTAGAAATATCATCATCTACATGAAAAGCACCTAATAGGTCATACGCTTCAACTATATATTCTCCCGAGTAAGAACCAATGTTCAACAAATATTCTACTATGGAATCATGGCCTTTATATGCTGCAGTTCTGAGTAAACTTTCTCCATCGTTTACTTTACAATAAATGTCTGCATCATATTTGATTAATACTGTTACTGAATCTAATATATTTTCGTGTACAGCGAAATGTAGAGCGGTATTTCCATAAGAATCCGTAGATTTAACATCCGCGCCATTCCGAAGGAGATACTCGCACAATTCGGAACTTCCTACAGAACTCATTAAACATGTCTGATTCCATATATTTGTTTTGTGTACGTCAGCGCCATTTTCAACTAAATACCGAACAAGGGGGATATTGTTTTCAAAACACGCCGCTCTTAACGGCGTAGATTGGGTATCAGAATATCCATTTATGTCAGCACCGTGCTCAACAAGGAATCGAACGACATCAATTCCATTAACTGGGACGGTCGCACACCATAACGGAGGTGCTTCAATTCTTGTATTTTGTGTAGGTTCTAAGTAAAACCCTCTTTGTTCAATATCGGTGTCGCATTCCGTAATGAGATACTTAACTATGCCTAGTCGGTTATTTAAGCAAGCAAAACATAATGCTGGGTTACTGTTAACCTTGTACGAAACAACTGACTTTCTTTCTTCTCTTGTCATCATGCACAAAGAAGTTATAATCTTATGGGGATTGTCTTCTTCTATACACCTGTGGATTATATTGGCGTATTTAACGACAGTCTCGCTAGCATGCTCGACCATTGTTCTGATATGTTCAAAGTTTGAATTTTACTTATTTTTTTCTCTCTATGACATCTGATTTACCAGCACTGTAATAAAAAATACATAGCTAACAAGTCTGACAAAACTATTATATTCACAACAATGTTTGAAATAAAACATATTCAAATAATGTTTCAATTTTAGAAAAAAAAATCAACATTTTTCAATCTGTTTGTGGTAGTTTTTTTTAGTCCAGTAGCAGTTGGATCGGTGTTGAAATAATTCAAAAGATACGTTTTCAATGTAAAGTTTCAGTATTTGAAGATTTGCCGAGGTGTAAAGTGGTAATTTGATGGTATCATACTGAATTTAATGTGACCATCAAATAAACAACTGACGCCCGCACATCTAAATATATAATGCTGATATCTCCATTCTAATTCCACTGGGAAAAAAACCTTCTAAATCGTATAGTTGGGAATCATTCTAAAGATGTATGTGCTTGCGTACACAGTTTCACATAAACAAGTAGATAAACAAAACGAAAAAGAAGAAAAAAGACTAAGAACGACATTTTTTACCAAATGTAAAATCATATTGGAAGCAAAGCCCGAGAACACAGTTTTTTCAAAGTACACTTTTTTAAGACTATAATCTTTTAATGTTAATTTTAAAACATCGCGACTGCGCTTGCTCAATAATAAAACAGTGTGGTGTACTGCTTTAGGGACAAATTATTTCAAAACTATAGAAAAATTAATCAGCTCAAACTCATAAATAGAAAATTTTATGTTGAGGGGTCTTGAGTTTAGTTTGACAGCTTCAGACATGTTACTTTTTTTCAACTGAACCGAATCACACCTTTAACACTTTAAAATTCTTGACTCAAATTTATTTATAGTGTACTTACTTTTTGAGGCATTAAACAAGAGGAAATAAATAAGAAAGGTGATTAAAAAAAAGTGTAAGTGAATACACTGTCCACACTATAGGGACTATATTTGTTAAGAAAACTAAAAACAAAGGACGATAACTGTGATCCTGGGCCTACTGTTTTGTCCGTGTTGAACATATCCAGTGTTAGTGGACATTTTCGAAAAGTCGTCTACACAGACACTTACACCGACACCGATACCTACACTGACTACAAAAATAGAGGGACCGTATCAAATGTCGACATATACTGACTGAATGACCTCTTAAACTTGGTTGTAGAGGTAAAATTATATTCTGTATTTTGTTTTATATAATTCTTAATTGAAAAAAAAACGAATGCTCTCATTAGTTTTGGATTATTTTAAGTAATGAATTTGTGATCTTCCATCTGTTTTTTTTTATTGTACTGTGTTACGGTAGAATATACAATTGGCAAATTTAATTGTTAGAAAACATTGGGAACATTGTGGAGACTCCCAATGAACAAATTATCTGCCATTAGTGATATCTATGGAACGCCATAGCTGCCTTATATGTACTTATTTCTATATATGCACATACTTGTCTATATATGCACATACTTTTTTCTATATATGCACATACTTTTTCTATATATGCACATACTTGTCTATATATGCACATACTTTATCTATATATGCACATACTTGTCTATATATGCACATACTTTGTCGATATATGCACACACTTTGTCTATATATGCACATACTTTGTTTATATATGCACATACTTTATCTTTATACTTTGTCTATATATGCACATACTTTTTCTTTATACATTTTCTATATATGCACATACTTTTTCTATATATATGCACATACTTGTCTATATATGCACATACTTTATCTATATATGCACATACTTGTCTATATATGCACATACTTGTCTAAATATGCACATACTTTGTCTATATATGCACATACTTTGTCTATATATGCACATACTTTTTTTTTAAATGATCATACCCCCCCCATTTACGGTATAGATCGCAACTTTGACCTTTCATTGTGTTTTGTATTACATGTATTTTATTCAATGTTTAATATACATGTAATACAAAACACAATCCCTGCCCCCCACCCCCCCCCCCCCCCGATAAGAAAATGGTTTTTTTTTATTAAGCAATACATACTAGGTGACACTTAGCTATACATATTTGCATCTTAGTGGGTGTTCCCTGGTTTTAAACAAATATATATGGAATCGAAATGATCATTTAAAAAAAGTATGTGCATATATAGAAAAAGTTAAAAGGAAAAGTATGTGCATATATAGAAAAAGTATAAAGAAAAAGTATAAAGAAAAAGTGTGTGCATATATAGAAAAAGTATAAAGAACTAGAGGCTCTCAAGAGCCTGTGTCGCTCACCTGTATTAACTGATGCTTTGGAAATCATGTAAAATAAGGTTAAAATCATAATTAATAGTATTAGATATTAGATATTATAATGATATCTAAGATAATAACCAAAAACTGCAAAATTTTTGTAAAATTACTAACTCAGGGGCAGCAACCCAACAACGGGTTGTCAGATTCGTCTGAAATTTCAGGGCAGATAAATCTAAATCTGATGATTAGTTTTGCCACCTGTCAGATTTGCTCTAAATGCTTTAGTTTCAGAGATATAAACCAAAAACTGCATTTTACCCCTATGTTCTATTTTTAACCAAGTTGGCCATGATGGTTGGAAAGCGGGGTCATCGGACAAATTTTTTAAACTAGATACCCTAATTATGATTATGGCCAAGTATGGTTAAATTTGTCTCAGTAGTTTCAAAGAAGAAGATTTTTGTAAAAGATTACAAAAATTTACGAAAAATTGTTAAAAATTTACTATTAAGGGCAATAACTCCTAAAGGGGTCGACTGACAATTTTGGTCATGACAACTTATTTGTAGATCTTACTTTGCAGAACATTATTGCTGTTTACAGTTTATCTCTATCTATAATAGTATTCAAGATAATAACCAAAAACTGCAAAATTTCCTTAAAATTACTAATTCAGGGGCAGCAATCCAACAACAGGTTGTCAGATTTGTCTGAAAATTTCAGGGCAGATAGATCTTGACCTGATAATCAGTTTTACCCTAAATGCTTTGGTTTCAGAGATATAAGCCAAAATCTACATTTTACCCCTATGTTCTTTTTTTAGCCATGGCGGCCATCTTGGTTGGTTGGCGGGGTCATCGGACACTTTTTTAAACGAGATACCCTAATGATGATTGTGGCCAAGTTTGGTTAAATTTGGCCCAGTGGTTTCAGAGGAGAAGAATTTTGTAAAAAGCTAACGACGACGACGACGACGACGACGACGGACGCCAAGTGATGGGAAAAACTCACTTGGCCCTTCGGGCCAGGTGAGCTAAAAAAGTATAAAGAAAACGTATGTGCATATATAGACAAAGTATGTACATATTATGTAGACAAAGTATAAAGATAAAGTATGTGCATATATAGACAAAGTATGTGCATATATAGACAAAGTATGTGCATATATAGACAAAGAATGTGCATATATAGACAAGTATGTGCATATATAGATAAAGTATGTGCATATATAGACAAGTATGTGCATATATAGAAAAAGTATGTGCATATATAGAAAAAGTATGTGCATATATAAAAAAGTATGTGCGTATATAGAAAAAGTATGTGCATATATAGACAAGTATGTGCATATATAGAAATAAGTACATATAAGGCAGCTATGGCGTTCAATAGATATCTGTGTAGGCTTAGTTTATCGACGATGTCAGTATCTTATTTCTTAAGAAGCAAGTGTATATTATTATACTTTGAGAATTTTAATGACTGTTCAAGACCTACCTATAATCATGGTAAAAAACCACCTGTCACTAAACCATGAGTACTATGCCCAATATACAAAATAGTTTATATTTGGTTAAGGGTGTTCGATGCAAAAGATGAAGGGCCAAATTCACCAGAATTCGTTTATTCACAGGGTCGAAATACACAATTTTTTAAAAACTACTGGAATTTTAATATCAAATACTATAAATGTTACATTTCTTACTAATTTTTGATATATTTATTTAATGCTAATGACTTCCCAAAATCTACCAAAATTGCAACAAACTTGAGTTCAAATTTGGTGACATGTTCAGAAATACGCAAATTTAGAATGATTACACGCATGAATCTGTCATACTGGGAATTTGATTAAATATTTGAAAATTTTCCGCAAATGGCTTTAGTGTGAACAATATTATATTCAGGGGGGAATTGGTAATTGGTACTATATTTCTTTACAAAACATGTACAATTTGCCATATTTGAACACAATTGTGTTATTTTATGTAAGGCAATTGAAAGCACAGCACTAAATATCATGTTGATGTATGTGAAACTGTGGCAAAATCCAGTTCAGTCTCTTAAATATTTGATTTTCACTGGGGTTTGAACCCAAGAGTGAAACAAATTCACGAGGAAGTGAGACACAGTCCTTATACCTTGTTCTTATAAGGCGAAAATGTTAATGTAAAAAGTCAAATTAATTTTGAAATACTTTGGAGTTCTTGATTTACTTACGTTAACTTTACGCTCCATCATTACAATCGCTAGATGTAAACAAAACACAAACCTATATCACTTCCTGTTAGATACGTAATCGATAAATATAAACTATTTATTTAAAGTAATATATGGAAATTACCAGGACTTGGATCGAGTAGAGGTTCTGCTATCGTTGAAAATACGAATTGCTGAGGAACAAACATATACGTATCAAAATAAGTCAGTGTAAATACAACAGGTTGAAGCATTATTTTCACTGAAGGTGGTACCCAACACCTTGACTTATATTAATTTGGCTCGTTTAATTTTCATAAAATTTTGACAAAATGTTTACTTTGACCCTTTGACAAAAATATAAAAATTTCAAAAAATTTGAACCAACCACTTTATCAGAAAAATTTCATTGGTTATATAGCAGTTTAACAAACACTAATTTTGATCATTGAGAAGCTTAATATTTCCTTAACAATACAACGTGATTAAAACGTTTAGCTGATTTTTACAGAGTTATCTCCCTGTAGTGTTAGGAACCACCTTAAATACATTTATTTATTATTCAAGTGAAATAGATAAACTGTCAACGTATATTTGTTCCGCCTTCCATTTGGAATTTATATTATGAAGGAACTTTTATTTCATGACATTACTACGAGAAAAGCATTATATACAGTTCCTCTTACATTACATCTCTTGGTAGACATGCGATATGACCGGATCCCTGAGAATTAGGTTCATGGAACAAAACCAGAAAGACGACGAACCCATATAAATGGAGATAAAAGGAAGAATCGAGTATTTGAATTTTAAATTCTATCTAAAAGACACTTAAATTTTAATACTTGATGTAATTTGAATAGTATAGGTATCAAAATATGCCAAATTCATGTTTGAGCAATCTTTCAGCATTTATTATATTGTTATGATTATGTTCAGATATGACACACAGTCTTATAGCCTCATAGTTGACACAAGAACTGTTGACATTGTGTATTTCAATTGAAAAGGCCGATACCGAAGAGACTTTTCGAATCATTAGTAGAAGAAGAACAGATAATACCATCAGAAGACGAAAAGCAAAAACAACAATTAACGAAAACACAGAAAACTAGACATAACACGAACTCCAAAAACAAGGGTGAACCCATGCGACCAAGTGGGATTCATTAGTGATACCAGACGTTTTATTCGTATTAAAATTTGCTAAGTTATAGTTAGTGATGATTTTCATATCATAGTTGATTGGTAGATGTCTTACCATATTAAAGCTAGCCTAACCATATTCATTAAAATTCGGTAAACGTAACCTTTCTTATCATAACACTTGGTTGATTTTTGACGAGCAGCTTTTCTTGAGAGACATAAAATATTTAAAGAACACAAAACAGTATCGGATTCTTCCCTCATCAAACAAATTGATGACATCTCAGATTGTTTTCAAGCTCCGAACAGTGACCTTGACACGTTGAACACATGGTGCCAGCAATGGTGTGTAACTTTCAATGCACAAAAAAACTGAGTATCTTATAATTTCTAAGAAGAAGAATATACCCCAGTACCCTCCATTAATCTTAAATAATGTTACTATAAAGAGCCTTTAGGTCTTATTTTGAATGATAAACTTTCTTGGACTGATCATATTGCTGATATTTGTAAGAAATGTCACAGTAAACTAAACACTATCCTGCAGATGCGAAATTTATTACCTAGATAGTGCATTGAAAAGTTATATAAAACAGTTGTTCGTCCATTACTAGACTATGCAGATGTTATCTATGATAACTGTTCTAGCGCTGATTCTGCAAACATTGAACGGATACAGAGACGTGTCTGCATTATATCTACTGGGGTAATCAGGGTCACAAAACATGTCACTTTATTGAAAAAGGTTGGACATGAGCTTCTTAAAACACATCGTAAAGTTCAGACTTACATATCTGTACAATGTACAAAATTAAAAAACATCTAGTTCCAGATTATCTCTGTAATGTTCATCCATTTATTCACGTGGGAATGGTTACGAGAAAAAGATCCATATGCACTAGATTACGATTAGAGCTTAGTGTCCTTAATGACCACTTGTACAAATATAATCTTACATTAAATAGGTTTCGCGATTTCTGCCCAGGTAACCGTATTGAAAGCACTGAGCACTATCTAATTCATTGCGACCGTTACACGAACTATCGGAATACTCGTCTACTTGGTATTAAGGATCTGATTTGTCCAGATATGAACATAGCAATGTTGCGTGATCTATGTCCTAACTACCTGAGCAAAGTTTTAATAGAAGTTAGTGACGATCTGTCTGATGATACTAATTTAGAGCTGTTTGAGTGTGTTTTTCGATATATTAAATCGTCAAACATTTTTTCTAGATAGATCAATGAATTATTTGTATTATGTTTTTTTCCTTGTTATAAAACATATTAGGTTTGAAACACATACCAGGGGCGGATCCAGCCATTTTTAAAAAAGGGGGGGGGGTCCTAACCCAGGATAAGAGGGGGGGGGGTTCCAACTATATGTCCCCATTCAAATGCATTGATCGTAAAAAAAAGGGGGTTCCAACCCCCGGATTTTACCTGATTGTACTCAAAATCGTCTTTCCTTAACCATTGTTTTATATTACTGAGTTCAACATGATTGTAAAGTCGTGTGAGTCTGGGTAAGAATAGGTGGGTGATTGGATTGGTGTTAAGTTTACATCCTCGTGTCTTGTTTTTTTTACATATTGACTTGTCTTGTGTTAAAAATGTATTTAAAAAAACCTCTTTGTTAATTATGAATCTGTATATGTCTATGTTGAGGAGACTAACACGCGAGCCTCTGGCTGTTGGATATCCTCTTTAAATAAAAAAAAGAATTAAAATTAAATTAAAAACAGCATCGGAATTTAACAAAGTCGTGAGGGCATAACAAGTCTATGTTATTGCCTGGCGCTTTTAAAATATTCCAAGTTTTCCCAATTACTTCCCTTTGCACGTAAGAAATTTGTTCGAACAGTTTATGCTTAATCAGTACGTGTTTTTGTAGTGTTCACTACCCACAAACATATAACTAGTCAGGTTTTTTACGAGTCTGGTTGGTTTACGATATTGTCATCTTGAAGAATTTAGCTTTGATATAAGACTCCTGATGATTTATAGCGTGACATTGTGTATAGACACCAGTATATAAACTCATCATAGATACCAGGATTGAAATTTTGTATTTGCGCCAGACGCGCGTTTCGTCTACAAAAGACTCATCAGTGACGCTCGAATCAAAAAATGTTAAAAAGGCCAAAAAAAGTACGAAGTTGAAGAGCATTGAGGACCAAAAATTCCTAAAAGTTTTGCCAAATACAGCTAAGGTAATCTATTCCTGAGGTAGAAAAGCCTTAGTATTTCAAAAATGTAAAGTTTTGTAAACAGTATTACTGAAGACCGTATGTTGACCGCTAGATGGATTTTATGTTGACTTGCCGGATTGCTGTCGTTTAAGTATACCTCATATCTCCTGTTATGCAAACTGAACATGCTTTTTGTTTTGAATAATGTGGCAAAGACGTATGACATGTCAAAGAAACAATCGGAAAAAGTAACCGGTAATATCATTGTTAATATAGATATCGATTTTACCCATGCTGATTTGTGTACATATACCTCATGAATTCAAACTGAAGTATGATATTGTTTATATGTGCCGTAAAGAGGTTCTACATGTATCAGCCATATGTCTGTAGCCGGAGCAAAGATCTCTAAGTTTGATTACCTTTTAAATCTGTATTCATCATCATTTAAGCAAGGACATTTAGATTCATGTTCGGAGTACAAGGACATTTAGATTCATGTTCGGAGTACAAGGACATTTATATTCATGTTCGGAGTACAAGGACATAAAAGATTCATGTTCGATGTACAAGGACATTTAGATTCATGTTCGGAGTACAAGGACATTTAGATTCATGTTCGATGTACAAGGACATTTAGATTCATGTTCGGAGTACAAGGACATTTAGATTCATGTTCGGAGTACAAGGACATTTTGATTCATGTTCGATGTACAAGGACATTTAGATTCATGTTCACAGTGCAAGGACATTTAGATTCACGTTCGCAGTACAAGGACATTTAGATTGATGTTCGCAGTACAAGGACATTTAGATTCATGTTCAGACTACAACTTGGACATTTTGATCCATATTTGAGGACGGGAAGATGTGTTATAAATAAGAATCCTATTTCATGCCAGATCAACAAACGTGGCTGGAGTTGTCGACGAATGTAGTTTTATTCCGTTTGACATGTCACCGTAACCAACTCTGGGCAGACTAGTCTCTGTATTTACTAAAAATAAGCACCGCGTAATCTGTGGAAAAGCGACACAACTAAATTGACTCAATATAACACAGAACACATACATTATGATTTCCAATGAGAGAAAGAAAATGATGTTAACGGTTAGTAAACTAAAATCAAGGTTTCAAATACCAAATGCAAAATTGAGGCTTTTATTCTCGAGTGTAACAAATAAAGGTTTTTGCAAGAGACATTATAACATGACTGTGTCTAATGCGATGAGACTTGTTATTATGACTATATGAACGAATACTTTGGTGAAGCTTATTGCAATGTTTTATTTTTCAATATCACAGAACGGTGCTTTCATAAGAACTATATAAATAGCATATAAATAATATAGAAAACTAATATAGGATATATAAACTTCTATAAGGTATAAGTATTATAAAGTAAAAATATTCATAAACTATTGAATAAATGCATACAAAATGGCAAGCATTTAATAATTGAAACAAAATGTAGTAACATGTCTATCTATGTGACACTAAATCCCCAACCAATTAAGATTACATGAATATTCATGAAACTTCTAAGTATTCAAAGGATTATTCATTTTTCAATGGCAAATAGGTAATATGAAATTTAAGTATTGATTTTATATAACAAAATTATGTTTATTTCTAATAACCAATTTCATTAAAAGGAAGCCATCAATGTATTCAAATTACTATGATATAAATTAATCGTACATGTATACATGCAAGGGTTTCTACAATTGTATAATTGTAATGCCTATTTAAGAGTTAATATCTACAAGAGCAATGTTCTGTAGAGACAGAAACTGTAAGACTAGTTCTGGTATCACAGATAATCAGCACATCTAACTCTGTATCACAGATAATCAGCACATCTCACTCTATAGTTCATTACATCCTCAACTTAATGTCTCAATTTCTCCTGAAACAAAAGATACAAATATAATTTATTATTTCAATTATATTGAGCATTGTACAGATTGTCTATGACCATGAAATATACAGACTTCTCAACAATGTTTAAATACATGGAGGGCAATAACGGAACAAAAGTGAAATAGCGCAACCCTCTCCTATATTATTTTGTACTGATACATGTCGTTTTAAAGCTTAGAAATTGCACGCACTACGAACTGGAATGTTCATAAAAGTCATGAAGTAATCTTGATTAGTGCTAAAGGACGGGCGACTGAATCTTTGGCGGATACACTATTAGCAATAACGACTCCAGCAGCATAACACCATGCACCAGTATTGCAAAAGGATGTGGTTGTAGATTTAAGTGAAAACGGAATTGTCTTGTGTCCATTGAGCCTGTTCAATTTTAACTGACACTCAGACACAACAGCTTGAAAACTACAGATGCATTAAACAAGTCAGAACTAATAATTCAAAAACTTGTCAAAATGATAAGTAATTGGCTTACATTTTCAATTAGTTATTGTCATAAAAGATAGGCGAAAGATACTTTAGGAATTAGTTACAAAATGTACAAATGCATATATTCTAGTAACCAAACCCAAGCATTGGGACAAAAGATGAGAACAATAAGTTGTACCAGGAAATTGTACTAAAGATGAAGTTATTCAATGCATTCAAACTCATGTAATTCGTTTTCTCACTGGTGCAGACAAATATTGTATGTTGTCACGTTGTCATCATCGGCATGTTAAAATTGTCTATGTTATGTATTTATGTTTTGTTTTGTAAAATAAGTTATGAGTAACAGCCTTATCGTTTGGCCTACAAATGTTTTTAATTCGAGCGCCAATGTCGAGTCTTGTGTAGACGAAACGCACGTCTGGCATTACAAATTATAAGCCAGGTATCTGTGATGAGATTGTATCAAAACAATTGTTTTACATGTAAATGCTTAAATGTACCATGTACCCCACATTAAAGCAAAATACATTTTGGATAAATTGTTGCTAATATACACATATTAATGACAGGATCTCAAAGCGAGGCTAATATTTTGTCAGTTTTTGCACATTTCGCTTAATGTGAAAATTTAAATGCTTAAAGAAAATTTATTCATATGCAAAACAACATAACAAAATTTATTGATCATGTTTAACACACTAGCGTCTTGTAAAAATCTAAAATGTTTGTGACACTTTTTGATTTTCGAATTCAAGGGACAAAAAATGACTAATCATATCATCTCCTGTCAATATACCTTACTGTTAGAATTTAGGACAAACGCCTGCACCAGAAGCGTATAATGAAAGCAATATAACACCCATCAAGTAAGATTAGTGAGGTTTTTCATTTATGATTTTGAGCACAAACAAAGGAAAACATTCTCCGTTTTAAGCATTCATTTGTTAATACAGAAATATTTTGAAGCCAGTCACCAGGAAGGGAGATCACTCGGGTCCATTTCATTGTTAAGAGAAAGAAATGAATACATACTCATCCTCTGTGCTACAAGTTTCCTCTACTGAAACTAATTGGTGTCAACATAGTAAGTAAATAATCTTAAATAACGGAGACTTTCAACGGTTTTGTGATGATTTTGTCACATAATTTGGTTATTAGATTTGAGTATATCAGAAGATGTTTGGTTACCAAAAAATTATCAATCAATCATTAATAACATAATATTTAGTCACCAAAAATCATCAATCAATCAATCATCAATAATATAATGATAAGTATATCTAGATAATCAACTATGTCGTCATTAACTTTCTACAGTAAAATGTATTTTTCTTCATACTTTGATCATAGTTGAATAACTAAAATTCATTTTGTATGAATTACATCTACAAAATATGATAGAAAAAAAAAAAAAACGTTGCTAAATAAATCCACGAACACAAGTTCGCTTAACGTTTCATTGGTAATCCATGAAATCTGCTTTTTGATTTGCTATCCTGCCTTTCTTTGTAAGTTAAAAACTTATTATTTGACCTTATTATAAATTGTGCCAGAATTGTTTGTAAAACTTACGCGCTAACTGACGATATCGACATTTCCTAAGGCGATCTGTTAGTTGATGGACGGAAGCCTGTTCCCCTACCAATGATTGCCATATCTGTAAACTCTTGAAGCACTTTTCCTGAACAGATGGTTTACTTTGATCTATGGTTCTTAATTGGTCCTCAGCCACTCCAAGACGTCTGGCAATAATCATCCAATTCTTGACAGCATCCGGGTTCTGTGCCACTTTCACAAATGCTCGTTTCAAAAGTGTATCTGAAATTATAAAAACAAATTGTATGTTTACATGTATACTAAATTTAAATTATCTTAACTGTCTTCTATTTATTTTGAAAGAGAAATTAATGTATTTTTTAAGTTAACAAACAACTGTCCGTGTTAAAGGTTATTAAGTGTACAACTTTGTTCACAGCAGCAAAAGTCTTTTCCTTTTACACATCCATATAAACAAAAAAAAATTGTCTACCCTTTTTGTCTTTAATTTATCTCCGTTTGCTATTATATGCATATTCTTTAAACGTAAACAAAATCTGTAGACCTTTGTACCACTCACTGCCTTAATTAGTTTATTATCTACATGCACAAATCATTGTGTATAACGTTGTTGCTTCAAGTGATGTTTCTAAGCTACATGTATATAACTTTTGCATACTTTTATTTGCTTTAGCCATGTTTCGTTTGTATTCCAGATCTTTATCCCTCAGTTCACCAGCTATGTCACTTCGTCCACAAGATGTCAGTGCTGTTGCTAAGATGTCAAGCTAAAATAAAATTGGACATTTAGACATACTAGTAAATGGATTGATTGATTGATTGTTGCTTGTTTAAAATCATGCAGCAATTATATCATGCATATTCAGAACGAGAACAATTAAACAATTAATACAAAACATAGATTAAGAGCGGGTTGGTGGGTAAAAAGAGATAAATTTGGACTGCCACTGGAAAATGCTTGTAAGATATGGACAGAATTTTGACCTTGCGACAGGCCATCCACGGAGAGTTTTTGCAATTGTTTTAACATGCATAGAGTGCAGCACTCTCTCTGCTGAGACGAGGCATCGAAAATTGGCTGAGTATCTTTACATCCCGCACATTCAAACGGACGATCTACAGTGTTTAAATGCCGAACTAGGTTGAGAGAAGTCATTTCTGATCATAGTAGATACATTTGTATAAATATAATAGAGACTTCCGAAGATCTGCATCAACACCAATTTTTTAAACAGTAAACAAACCTCTCCCCTCTCCCATACAAAACAATAACAAAAAACAATTAAAGTCTGAAGACAGACAAACAGTTGCACTCCAAATAATTTTTAATAAAAATACATATGAACGAAGAATCTAACAAAGACATTGAAATAGAATTTAAAAAAAAAATAAATAAAACAAAAGGCAACCTACGGTGAGATTCCTGACTTTACACAGGCACATTAAAGTGTAATGGTGTTTTTTTAATTGCAAAGTCTCTTTAAAAAAAAAACACAAACAAAAATATTCATTTTAACAATTGTTTAATACAAAATTACAAGATTTCTTCTTACTATGATTTATTGAACAATGTGCGCATTGCGAATGAAATACATTTTTCATCAGTGGTATTCGAAACAAAAGGAAAGTTAACCCTCATCAACATTTAAGAGATATAACAGTAGGACAAAAATAGAGACTGAAACTTGATAAAGAACAAAATAATGTATATCGGGATTTAACCTTAAATTCTACATTTTCGGTTATACATGTACCTATTTGCGGACTTTTAAAAGTCATTTATATTAATTTCATGTCTGGACAAAAGCACTGTCTCTCTCCCAGGCTAATTCTCACCTTGTTTGCACTTCTAGGAATTCGCTTTGCCCAGGATACTAACATGTCATAACGGATCTTCTTTGGATCCGGATTAGCTGTATTCTGTCGGAGTATAGCTTGGATCCGCACACTTTTAAGGTTCAGTAACTGTGCTAACATCTTCCATTCGTCTCCCAGCTCGTTTGCAACAAACTCCAGGACATCCTTCGTATTTGGAGCTATAGCAACAACAAAATAAAATGATAATCACAGTTTATTAACATAAAGATAGATAATAAATCAGGCACAACACGTCTCATCTATAGAAGACCACGAAAACGCCATAGTTTCTACATGAAGAATATGGCTGTTGGGATCCGAAATTTTGTATTTTTTGGTTTTGAAGTACATGTAGTCTATCATTGACTTTTGTTTGAATTACATATTGACCCCCTATTAAAAACCTAATGTATATGTAGAACTGCATTCATTTTAGCAATTTCATTCAGTAGAACTTCTTAGTCTGTCTCAAGAGTTTTAAGATGGTTTTCTTTTCCAATTTCTAAGTTAAATTTTAAAAGTTCGTAAACTGTGTTATATCCTCGCTAAAAGCCTCTTTCTTGTTGAGTTTATACAGAAACATAATATACATAAATATTGTTATTATTTGCATTTAAATAAAACAACAATTTGTATTTCTACTTTTTATTAAACACATTTGTTCAAATATTGTGTAACTATTAAAATTTTGAGATCACGCTATATTTTAAATGGTCTATTTATACCGAGACTTTCTGTTTAAATGGCAAAGGTTCGTCTGCACCAGGAACCTCTCTTATAACAACGCATAGCAATGAATTTTCAAAAATAGTTTCACGGTTTTCAGGCAAAACAAGATTGAAAGAATTACTCAGTAATATAGTTTTAATGTAAAAACACTAGTTAATATGTATTGTATGATCTTATATCTTATCCAGATCTTATACCCAAGTAACTAAACATATCTCGATCTTATACCCAAGGAACTAAACATATCTAGATCTTATACCCCAAGGAACTAAACATATCTAGATCTTATACCCAAGGAACTAAACATATCTCGATCTTATACCAACGGAACTAAACATATCTAGATCTTATACCCAAGGAACTAAACATATCTCCATCTTATACACAAGGAACTAAACATATCTAGATCTTATATCCAAGGAACTAAACGTATCTCGATCTTATACCCAAGGTACGTAACATATCTCGATCTTATACCCAAGGAACTTGACATATCTCGATCTTATACCCAAGGAACTTAACATATCTAGATCTTATACTCAAGGAACTAAACATATCTCGATCTTATACCCAAGGAACTAAACATATCTCGATCTTATATCCAAGGAACTAAACATATCTCGATCTTATACCCAAGGAACTAAACATATCTCGATCTTATACCCAAGGAACTAAACATACCTAGATATTATACCCAAGGAACAAAACATATCTAGATCTTATACCCAAGGAACTAAACATATCTAGATCTTATACTCAAAGAACTAAACATATCTAGATCTTATACCCAAGGAACTAAACATATCTCGATCTTATACCAAAGGAACTAAACATATCTAGATCTTATACCCAAGGAACTAAACATATCTCCATCTTATACACAAGGAACTAAACATATCTAGATCTTATATCCAAGGAACTAAACGTATCTCGATCTTATACCCAAGGTACGTAACATATCTCGATCTTATACCCAAGGAACTTGACATATCTCGATCTTATACCCAAGGAACTTAACATATCTAGATCTTATACTCAAGAAACTAAACATATCTCGATCTTATACCCAAGGAACTAAACATATCTCGATCTTATATCCAAGGAACTAAACATATCTCGATCTTATACCCAAGGAACTAAACATATCTCGATCTTATACCAAAGGAACTAAACATATCTAGATCTTATACCCAAGGAACTAAACATATCTCCATCTTATACACAAGGAACTAAACATATCTAGATCTTATATCCAAGGAACTAAACGTATCTCGATCTTATACCCAAGGTATGTAACATATCTCGATCTTATACCCAAGGAACTTGACATATCTCGATCTTATACCCAAGGAACTTAACATATCTAGATCTTATACTCAAGGAACTAAACATATCTCGATCTTATACCCAAGGAACTAAACATATCTCGATCTTATATCCAAGGAACTAAACATATCTCGATCTTATACCCAAGGAACTAAACATATCTCGATCTTATACCCAAGGAACTAAACATACCTAGATATTATACCCAAGGAACAAAACATATCTAGATCTTATACCCAAGGAACTAAACATATCTAGATCTTATACTCAAGGAACTAAACATATCTAGATCTTATACATAAGGAACTAAACATACCTAGATATTATACCCAAGGAACAAAACATATCTAGATCTTATACCCAAGAAACTAAACATATCTAGATCTTATAGCCAAGGAACTAAACATATCTAGATCTTATACACAAGGAACTAAACATATCTATTGTCTTTACCCAAGGAACTAAACATATCTATATCTTATACCCAAGGAACTAAACATACCTAGATCTTATACCCAAGGAACTAAACATACCTAGATCTTATACCCAAGGAACTAAACATATCTCGATCTTATACCCAAGGAACTAAACATATCTAGATCTTAAACCCAAGTAACTAAACATATCTCGATCTTATACCCAAGGAACTAAACATACCTCGATCTTATACCCAAGGAACTAAAATTATCTCGATCTTATACCCAAGGAACTAAACATATCTAGATATTATACCCGAGGAACTAAACATATCTAGATCTTATACTCAAGGAACTAAACATATCTCGATCTTATACCCAAAGAACTAAACATATCTCGATCTTATATCCAAGGAACTAAACATATCTCGATCTTATACCCAAGGAACTAAACATATCTCGATCTTATACCCAAGGAACTAAACATACCTAGATATTATACCCAAGGAACAAAACATATCTAGATCTTATACCCAAGGAACTAAACATATCTAGATCTTATACCCAAGGAACTAAACATATCTAGATCTTATACCCAAGGAACTAAACATATCTCGATCTTATACACAAGGAACTAAACATATCTAGATCTTATATCCAAGGAACTAAACGTATCTCGATCTTATACCCAAGGTACGTAACATATCTCGATCTTATACCCAAGGAACTAAACATACCTAGATATTATACCCAAGGAACAAAACATATCTAGATCTTATACCCAAGGAACTAAACATATCTAGATCTTATACCCCAAGGAACTAAACATATCTAGATCTTATAGCCAAGGAACTAAACATATCTAGATCTTATATCCAAGGAACTAAACATATCTAGGTCTTATACCCAAGGAACTAAACATATCTATTTCCTTTACCCAAGGAACTAAACATATCTATATCTTATATCCAAGGAACTAAACATACCTAGATCTTATACCCAAGGAACTAAACATACCTAGATCTTATACCCAAGGAACTAAACATATCTAGATATTATACCCAAGGAACTAAACATATCTAAATCTTATACTCAAGGAACTAAACATATCTCGATCTTATACCCAAAGAACTAAACATATCTCGATCTTATATCCAAGGAACTAAACATATCTCGATCTTATACCCAAGGAACTAAACATATCTCGATCTTATACCCAAGGAACTAAACATACCTAGATATTATACCTAAGGAACAAAACATATCTAGATCTTATACCCAAGGAACTAAACATATCTAGATCTTATATCGAAGGAACTAAACATATCTAGATCTTATACCCAAGGTACGTAACATATCTCGATCTTATACCCAAGGAACTTGACATATCTCGATCTTATACCCAAGGAACTTAACATATCTAGATCTTATACTCAAGGAACTAAACATATCTCGATCTTATACCCAAGGAACTAAACATATCTCGATCTTATATCCAAGGAACTAAACATATCTCGATCTTATACCAAAGGAACTAAACATATCTCGATCTTATACCCAAGGAACTAAACATACCTAGATATTATACCCAAGGAACAAAACATATCTAGATCTTATACCCAAGGAACTAAACATATCTAGATCTTATACTCAAGGAACTAAACATATCTAGATCTTATACCCAAGGAACTAAACATACCTAGATATTAGACCCAAGGAACAAAACATATCTAGATCTTATAGCCAAGGAACTAAACATATCTAGATCTTATACCCAAGGAACTAAACATATCTAGATCTTATACCCAAGGAACTAAACATATCTAGATCTTATACACAAGGAACTAAACATATCTATTTCCTTTACCATAGGAACTAAAAATATCTATATCTTATACCCAAGGAACTAAACATACCTAGATCTTATACCCAAGGAACTAAACATACCTAGATCTTATACCCAAGGAACTAAACATATCTCGATCTTATACCCAAGTAACTAAACATATCTAGATCTTAAACCCAAGTAACTAAACATATCTCGATCTTATACCCAAGGAACTAAACATACCTCGATCTTATACCCAAGGAACTAAAATTATCTCGATCTTATACCCAAGGAACTAAACATATCTAGATGTTATACCCAAGGAACTAAACATATCTAGATCTGATACTCAAGGAACTAAACATATCTCGATCTTATACCCAAGGAACTAAACATATCTCGATCTTATATCCAAGGAACTAAACATATCTCGATCTTATACCCAAGGAACTAAACATATCTCGATCTTATACCCAAGGAACTAAACATACCTAGATATTATACCCAAGGAACAAAACATATCTAGATCTCATACCCAAGGAACTAAACATACCGAGATATTATACCCAAGGAACAAAACATATCTAGATCTTATACCCAAGGAACTAAACATATCTAGATCTTATACTCAAGGAACTAAACATATCTAGATCGTATACCCAAGGAACTAAACATACCGAAATATTATACCCAAGGAACAAAACATATCTAGATCTTATAGCCAATGAACTAAACATATCTAGATCTTATACCCAAGGAACTAAACATATCTTGATCTTATACACAAGGAACTAAACATACCTAGATATTATACCCAAGGAACTAAACATATCTATATCTTATACCCAAGGAACTAAACATATCTAGATCTTATACCCAAGGAACTAAACATATCTAGATCTTATACCCAAGGAACTAAACATATCTAGATCTTATACCCAAGGAACATAGATATTTTCAAATCCACTACTTATGCATACCCAAACCCAATGAGGTTTTAAAGTTAAGAGAACTGAAACTGGGATGGCTAAGTTGAACGAAGTTTTTTACCATGAACTAAATTGTACAGATTTATCCTTGTACCTTAGACACCCTAATTAAATTGTACGACTTTATCCATGTACCTGAGACATCTTAATTAAATTGTACGGATTTATCCTTGTACCTGAGACATCTTAATTAAATTGTACGGATTTGTCCTTGTACCTGAGACACCTTAATTAAATTGTACGGATTTAGCTTGTACCTGAGACATCTTAATTGAATTGTACGGATTTGTCCAGGTACATGAGACACCTTAATTAAATTGTACGGATTTATCCTTGTACCTGAGACACCTTGATTAAATTGTACGGATTTATCCTTGTACCTGAGACACCTTAATTAAATTGTACGGAATTATCATTGTACCTGAGACACCTTAACTAGATTGTACGGATTTATCCTTGAACCTGAGACACCTTAATTAAGTTATACGGAATTATCCTTGTACCTGAGACACCTTAATTAAATTGTACGGATTTATCCTTGTACCTGAGACACCTTAACTAAATTGTACGGATTTATCCTTGTACCTGAGACACCTTAACTAAATTGTACGGATCTATCCTTGTACCTGAGACACCTTAATTAAATTATACGGAATTATCCTTGTACCTGAGACATCTTAATTAAACTGTACTGATTTATCCTTGTACCTGAGACATCTTAATTAAATTGTACTGATTTATCCTTGTACCTGAGACACCTTAATTAAATTGTACGGATTTATCCTTGTACCTGAGACACCTTAATTAAATTGTACGGATTTATCCTTGTACCTGAGACACCTTAATTAAATTGTACGGATTTATCCTTGTACCTGAGACACCTTAATTAAATTGTACGGATTTATCCTTGTACCTGAGACACCTTAATTAAATTGTACGGATTTATCCTTGTACCTGAGACACCTTAACTAGATTGTACGGAATTATCCTTGTACCTGAGACACCTTAATTAAATTGTACGGATTTATCCTTGTACCTGAGACACCTTAACTAAATTGTACGGATTTATCCTTGTACCTGAGACACCTTAACTAAATTGTACGGATTTATCCTTGTACCTGAGACACCTTAATTAAATTATACGGAATTATCCTTGTACCCGAGACATCTTAATTAAATTGTACTGATTTATCCTTGTACCTGAGACATCTTAATTAAATTGTACGGATTTATCCTTGTACCTGAGACACCTTAATCAAATTGTACGGATTTATCCTTGTACCTGAGACACCTTAATAAAATTGTACGGATTTATCCTTGTACCTGAGACACCTTAATAAAATTGTACGGATTTATCCTTGTACCTGAGACATCTTAATTAAATTGTACGGATTTATATTTGTACCTGAGACACATTTTAGTAGTCACTGTGGATAGTAATCATGCCTAGATTCATACCAACAGTAAGGGGTTTGACAGCTGGAGAGAGGTACTTATTTTGTATATATATATGCACATGGAGGTCTTGACCATGACTTCCAATATACAGTTGTCATTTATTTACGCGCAACACCTTGTAGTAGTGGCGAATAATCTTACAAAATTGCATTTAAAAACTTCAAGGAATTTGAAAGTTAGAGAACGAAAACGATTTGTGACAGATGGACGACCAAGATGATTACTATAGGCCTTCCTCGCGGATTAATCGGAGACCTAATAAATTCTTATAAGTATCATAAAAATGAGAGGGTAATATAGAATTACCATAGAAGATAAAGACATATTCACCTTCAACATGTATTTTCACAGGAGCTGTATTTAAAGGCTGGGGTGGTTCTGGATCAGGCTGCAAATAAAACAAATAATGTTACCATGGTTACTATTAATTGTATTTATGGTTGCCTTCTGATCACAGTTTAAACTCGTTTACCAAGTCTGATAAATGATTTATTTAGCTTCAGTAATTTGTAGGTGATTCCCTATCGTCAAATAATGATCATAATTCAAGATTTATTGCCGTGTGATTGTGCATTACGTAACGTTAAGTAGACTTTGAATTCAACTAATAAATGTGCAAAGTAATACATGCATCTTCAAATCTTATTCAATTTAATTCAAATCGATCCGAGGATATGAGTTTTGTATATATTACAATCAGAATGATTTAAAGTAAGAACGTTTATAACCATGAAATTATAAAACCTTGGATAATCAGAATCGTTACGTAAACATAAAGTTAAAAGGGATTATAAAACGTAGATAAAACGTAGATAAAAGGCCTGATTTAACCAACATGTCATAAAAGGAAAATTTTATTTTAAATTACCCCAATTATTGATTATTTAACAACACCAATGTCAATATTTAAAAAAAAAACTTCGCTTCACAACACTATGTTTTTTTAATACTCAAATCAACTTTTAACATGCAGATCCTCGTCGGTTGCTTTTACGTAATAAAGTCGATGTAAATAGTGCTTTTTGTTAAATATCGTGATATAAATCCGACGGGCACCTGTTAATTCGTGTTATACTGTCATTTTCATATTTTGCCAACAATGGTTTTTATTCCAGTAGCAGTGAAGACGTCAATTATCAACAGAAAACAATAGAGTCGTAGGGTTGCTGTCTTGTTGACGTATATATCATATCTTCGTTTATCCATCTTTTTTTCGTAAAAAACGATAAGCTAGAAAAAACTGAAGAACACAAATGATAAAAAATACGATCAATTAAACTGATTTTTGCTAAATAGTTTTCTATTATATAAGACTTCATTAGCTTGAACTTGTTGTATATTCCCCAACATTACTGTAGATATACTAGCATTGATAACAAAAAAATAAAAGGACTTCTTTCCCTGTGCGATATTATTACAAGAGAAATGGAACAGTATATGTCACCTTGGGTATATTTATCAATAGTTCAGTCAGTAATAGCCGTTCCTTTGTAACTTCTATTTGTGGGGGTTTCTTTGGAGCTCCAGGGGTTTGATGTTCCATAATATGTAGTTTTTTATGAACAACATCGGAAGAGACTTGTGCAAATCCTCTATACGTGTGGAAACTTTTCTGAGCAAATTTTTCAATTTCTTCAACATTAAAATCCAACCTGCTTCGAAAATGTGTGTTGAATATAAGTCTTAATTTGTCAGCTTCCTTTGTACATTGAATGTTTCCTCTAAAACTGATGTCTAAAATTTGTCCTTCTTTTACTATAAGATCTTTACTAGGATTTGGTCCTTCTTCATAACCTAATTCTCCAAACTTGCGCATAGCGCGCTCAGTTCTGTTTGATTGCTCGCAAGATAGTATCACTTCGTTTGGATCGTCGTTCTTTTGGCGTAAGAATATTTGAATAGTCCTATACATAATTGATATTTCCAACATGAACGCTATCCTCTCAACTTGTGCAGCTGTCATCCCTTCCTTTGTTCTCAGGACGAGGTATCTATAACGTATAAAAAAAATCATCATCTAGACAATGCATGTGTAGCCATTACTACATTTAGTATATTTACATCGGCACAAAACAAATTTAAGAGAAAAAATGTATGAATAAAACAGGTAATTGTGTTTTCGGCTTTATTTATAATAAGATGTATATTACGTTCTATACAATATGAAATAATGGAGATGTAGAGTGCCCCTCAGTAACAATCCAACAACACCATAAACTGACTTATGGCGTCCAAAGGCATTATAAAACGTGGAATGGTGCAACTTTTTGTTTTGAGGAATCAAATCTTTCATTTTTGCATACTTTCAGCAGAGAAAACTAAAAAAAACAACAACAAAATGCAGAGTAAAACGTGCGATAAAAACAGTTTAGTGTACCTAACTATAAGTTAAACAAAATAAAATTAAACATTTCGAAGTATGTCCACACTAGTAATCAATGTGTTTCGTTAGTCTCGATCGTGAATACATTCTAATCAGGAATTAAAAAAAACCATGCCATTTTATTCTAGACCTTGCCCTTAAATCATCTGTATAACTTATCTATAAGGTTTGACTGATCTTAACATAAGTTTGTTATAACTTATCTCTAAGGTTTGACTGATGTTAACATAAGTTTGTTACACTCTTTATCAATTCTAGTCGTTCAATGGTTTCAGTTTTCTATCTATTTGTTTTGTATACAATACCTGTCACTTGGTTCTTTGATTTCAAAGGAGACAATGTCTTTATTCCTGGCCTGAAATAGAGGTACATCTTGTAGCTTGGTCCAGGTATCCTCTCTGTTACTCCTAATCAAAAGATGGATTTCCTCCTCTGATTCATCTAAATCAAAAACGAAATCGCATTAACTTTTGCAATATGATTTGATCGATTTAGATTTCATTTACACCAGAGTCTATTGTAATGTTTTTACTCGCTGTTCTCGATTATTCAATTTTGGATGACATTGTACTGGACTTTTTAACTTTGACTATAAATGTATCATAATATTGTGTATATGGATTTCTCTCACCACAATCCGCATGAAAATTCAGTAGTAAGGGACTATGTTTACCGTTTTCATAAAAAGGGAAAGATTGTACACACTCGTATGAAGTTCTGTCACTTGGCATGTTTGTTTTAAAGAGTAATCCGTAAATACTTTTCTATTTTAATCATTTTAAATGTATGGGCCAATTTAACACAAAAAGAGTTAAATAAGCAATGTGGAAGGCCTCATAGTAACTTTGAGATGAAGAACAGCAATACAAGCGCGGTTTCTTTGCTTTTTATGTTTTTGCTGTGCATTTACTGATTTTGTGTCATGAATGGATACCCCACATTTTTCTTAACTATTATAAATATTTTTTTTGGTAATAGAAGTATTGTTTAATATGAGTAATATGAGTAACACGAATATATAAGTTGTATTAGATTGCTTAAAGACACATTATAATATTGTCAAAAAGTATTTCGGAATATGCCACAGTTCACTTATGTGCTCTTATAAGTATAATATCCTTTACGCTTTGGTCAATAGCTAAATCTGACTGGAACTTTAATGTTATATATACAACAGAAAAAACTAGATCACCTTCATTTCTGGAAGACTGGAATGCTGTGGACGGTCGAGCAGTCAATGGTCTGGCATCTTGTCCACTATCTGACTCACTTCTATTCGTGGCTGTTGCTGTTTGTGGTCGTTTGGGTCGACTGGTATTAGGAGGGAGCGGTAAAGTCATTAATAAAGGTTTGGCAAACTTTCGGTTTGGTATTGAAAATTTAAGGATCGGACTAGCAGCCAATAAGCTGTTACATTCAACCGGGCATCGCTGCTTTAATTCTGTTACTGCTGATAATTCAACCGACTGCACCTAAAATATACAGAAATAGAGGTATTCAAAAATTGAAAGTGGTATATACATTTTATTCATATATTTTGAGTTGAAAGTTGAATAATAACAATATAGAAACTCGTTGTATATTTTTTACTTTTCTTCCTTCAAAAAAGAAGAACGTGCAATATTTTAAACAATACTGATTTATAGATATATCGCATCTTACTTTTGTATATTACTGAAATGCTCAGTTTCAACCTTCTGGATTCATCTCTATAGTACACTTAAAAGAAAATCCGTATTTGTAAAATTTTGATTTAACCAAACATGGAACAGGAGCTAAACACTAAAGCTTATCTAACCACAATGTACTAACCTCTACATTAAAGTTGGTGTTCATCTTAAACATAGATGGTTTACATGTAAAGGAAACACAATGTACTAACCTCTACATTAAAGTTGGTGTTCATCTTAAACATCGATGGTTTACATGTAAAGGAAACACAATGTACTAACCTCTACATTAAAGTTGGTGTTCATCTTAAACATCGATGGTTTACATGTGAAGGAAACTCTTGCATCAACTGATGAGAACACTTTGTTTCCTTTCTTAGTAAACGTTAGTGTGTCTCGTTTAAGTCTTAGTACCACCACGTATTTCCCGAATTTTCTCGTTCTCGTTTCAACAAACCTCAATTCCTGAAACGTAAATTCATTAGTAATTTATTTGTAATCTTTTAGAAAAATGTTGCAACAGCCAGATGGTGAATGATTTTGAGTATGTTAGGTTGGAAAGAAATATTAATGCTGATTGTGATATTCAATATTGTAGACGTTGAAACTTTAAAGCTTTAATTTTGTTTATAGATCGCACAAGAAACTGAACCAAGTATTGATTTTTCAAGAATGTATTTAAATGAAACGAATTCATAGAGCATATAATGCTGATGAAACAATATCATACATTGTGTATCAATACCATAAAAAAGAATTTAAAATGCGGTCTCCGTATTACAGAATGAATACATATTGCAGATATTTTCAATAGATCCCTAACATATCTATTTATTTCTCAAAGATCCCAACAGGGGTATGTGAAAAGTTATAAACAAATTAACATTTAAATATAACAAAGTAATGCGGTGAATACTAGAAATTATCTTTAAATTCACTTAAGCTATCAAAGAACTGTGCAAGTTTCTCAAAATCGAACGAGAAACACAATTGCTAGGCATATAAGCGCTACAATGTGGATGTACTCCTATAATTACTGTTACTAGTAGAAGGGACGAAAAAGTAGAAAAAAACTCTACTTTTACATAATATAAAATTAGTTTTTGGACATACAAGTAGACAGTCAAGTAAATTCTTACTTTGATATCATTTAAGACCAGTTCTGTTGACGGAAGCTCCGTCCATTTCCCATTTGACTGTAAACATTTAATGACTGGTTCCTTTCCTGGTATTCCACGTGGTGCACAGTGAGGAATGACAATAGACATTGCTTGATCGAACTGTAATAAACAAAATATAAGATGTAAGCAAATGTATGCAAATGTATAGTTTTCAAGTAAAATCGCCTTTCATGGGCAAGTTTTAAACTTTTCTCAATATTTTGTTTCCGCTCTGGCTGTTTCATAAACTATGTATTAAATAATTTGGATCAGTTCTCAATACTGTTGTGTAACTTGCATCTCCAAATGCACTTCTGAAATTTTTTTTTTTTTTTTTCTATTATATTCTTGAGATATTCAGGTAGTTATTTATTACAAGATATTTTTTGGGAAAAATTATAAACTATCATTTTCCCGATAGAAAGTTAATTATCTCAGAAACAATCATTACTAACTATTTGCGTTACATATTGTTAGTTTTCATTTTTTGATGACCTAAAGAGCATGTAAGATGTAGAACATTTCTCGGACTGTTTATGACATCTTTACACTAAATTCTATTTGATGTGTACAGATATTTCAGTGTCCATTACATTAGGAGAATATTGTATTTCAGCATCGAAAATCCCGGATGCATTATCTGACCGATGAGTTAATTGACTTAGATAATAGAAAAATGAACATCAACAATTGATACATTGAAACAAACATTCATTAACATCGAATGATCGATTAATATAATAGTAACATCTGAATTATTCATATTTATATGCGATTTCAAACATGAAATAATGAAGATCAAATCAAATTATATGCTTCGGAAGTGAAATTCAAACATGAATTTAATTAATAATGTAAACAAATTTTAAATTGAAAGAATTATTTTAAAAATCAATATTAACAATGAAATTCCATTGTTTTTGGTGAATAAAGTCTGACTGGAAAGAAAATCATAATAGTTCTGAGTACTTTTTTTTTATATTGTTCGCATTTTAATCTCAGAAGAGGCCGATTTGTCTTGGAATAGACACGCAACATATGCATTATTTTTCTTTTTTTGTTTATGGCGTATAACTTTCTTAACTTTTACGGACGCATACAATTTATAAAGGGTTACTTTCATTTTATGGCTCTCTATTACTTCGTATTACCTCAAGGATATTGAAGGTTAATCCATGACAAGGGGCTTCAGACACAGGCAGTTATTTCAACTTCTCAATCCGTAAGATATTGAAGGTTAATCCATGACAAGGGGCTTCAGACACAGGCAGTTATTTCAACTTCTCAATCCGTAAGTATAAATAAGAACATGCGAATAAAGTTTTTCTCGTTGTTGGATTTAATATTTTCTTTTACAGACAACTTCTCGAAGTCGTTAGCCTATTTGACAAACTCTTTTATAGACAACTTCTTCTCGATGTCGGTAGCCTATTTGACAAACTCTTTTATAGACAACTTCACGATGTCGGTAGCCTATTTGACAAACTCTTTTATAGACAATTTCTCGATGTCGGTAGCCTATTTAACAAACTCTTTTATAGACAACTTCTCGATGTCGGTAGCCTATTTGACAAACTCTTTTACATACAACTTCTCGAAGTCGGTAGCCTATTTGACAAACTCTTTTATAGATAACTTCTCGATGTCGGTAGCCTATTTGACAAACTCTTTTAAAGACAACTTCTCGATGTCGGTAGCCTATTTGACAAACTCTTTCATAGAAAACTTACACTAAATTTCTTCTCGTTGTCTGTGGGTTTAATCTCTATGATATTGCTCACGAGCTCTTCAGTCTCAGTCAGCTCTAGTACACCCGTATCCTGGTCAAGTCTTGTCACTTCAACATCCTCTCGATTTAAAGATCCCTTAAGAGATCTGATGATACATCCAACTCCAGGGTCATAATCCCCAGGGTCAACGCTGTATCTATTTTACAAGAAAATATATATTTGAATGTTAATATACACCAGATTTAAAACATGTATGATGAAACAATTGTAATATAGTTCAGTATCTCCATTTTTTGCAGTACCTTTTTCATGTTAAGCAGTTTAACTGGGATCTTTATGAGCTTAATGTATCTTGATGATCATAATACTATTTTTCAAACTTTTCAACCTTTTGTGTATTAACTTCCATGCCTGTTGTTAAAGAATCATTCTTAAGTGGTTTACATGTTTTTCTTTCCTGACGTAATTTTATAGGAACTTTTCGAGATGCAGTTACTTTCATTTGCATGGTAATTTATTGGTTTTATGACTTTGATAGCTACATGATTTACTATTGTTGGAGTGCTTTCTCTGATAAGAATGTTCCATTTGTCTCATCTTTTTATCAACCGTAAGCTACATATTCAAATCTTTAAAATATTGATCTGAACTATTCATATATACCACAATATAGGTACAAATTTCCTGAATGACCTCAATCTGAGTTTATTTAAGCACATAATAGTCAAAGAAAGGGACAGACACAATATGAAGAGGAATGGACATACTTACAATAGCTAAGGAAAAGACAACTTTTAAAAGAAAGAAAAAGACAGACTTAAAAAAGAAAAGACATACTTAAAAAGGAAAATGACAGACTTAAAAATGAAAAGAAAGACTTAGAAAGGATAAGACAGACTAAAACAGACTGAACAGCTTCGCCATTGAAAATTGAACAAGTAAAGAGAGGCTTACAATAGGTGATCATATACATTGAAAGGACAGACAAACAATGGCCAAAAAGAGGACAGACATTCCTATATAGGCACCTACGTTTTAATATTGTATTTGTATTGTGTCATTGATCAAATTTATTCGGTCAGTGTATGTTTACTTGTTTTAGTTTAAATATCTTTTTGATCGAGTTACGCCATTTCAATTCATATTTTATAGTGTGTCTTTTTATATTGTAATGTTACAATTTTGTCTCAGGTTAGGGTGAAGGTTGGCGCCTGTTAAAACGTTGAAACCCGCTGAATTTTTTTGCACCTGTCCTAAGTCAGGAGCCTGTTGTCGTTTGTTGGTGTGGTTCATAGGTGTTTCTCGTCTTTTAAATAGATTAGACCGCTGGTTTTCCTGTTTGAATTAGTTTACACTAGTCATTTTTGGGCCCTTTATAGCTTGCTGTTCGGTGTGAGCCAAGGCTCCGTGTTGAAGGCCGTACTTTGACCTATAATTGTTAACTTTTTATACAATGTGACTTGAATGGAGAGTTGTCTCATTGGCACTCATACCACATCTTCTTATTTATATTAGATACAGACAGTGTACTTTTATTTATCGTATATTTCTCGATAAAATATACCTACATGTATCTCGGCCAATTATTTGGATTTATTCTTTCTGCTTCTTTTCTGGCTTTTTCTTCGTCAGCACGTTTCCGTTCATCCTGAAAAGTTGTTCCTTTCTTCTTTGCTTCTTCCATTAATCCTTTGTCTTCTACTTCTCTTATTTTTCTCTCTTCCTCTGCCTTCTTTTCTGCCCTTTCTTGCGCTCGTTTCCTAGCTTCATCATCAGCTTTACGTTTCTCTATAGCCGCTTTCCTTGCCTCCTCAGCGGCTTTCAGAGCCACTTCAGCCGATTCCCATGCCTTCTTTGCCAGACTTTCTGCCTCAGCAGCTTCGATCTCTGTCTCATTAGCTAATTGAGTTGATTCTGCTACTGCTATGGTTGCCTTGGCAATAGATGCCCTCGCTTCTGAAGCTTTGGCCAATGCAGATCGTTCCACAGCAATACGCTCTTCACGAATTTTGTGTTTTTCTAACAAAAAAATAATTATGAGTGAAATTATCACTTGGTATCACAATATTCGAGTTTAAATAATGAATATCTCATTGTTTATTAAGTTTAGAGAGATATTTGGCAATTGGATATACAACTTAACTGGTTGTTTAAAGTCTAGAGGCTAAAATTACACGAGCTAATCGCATGGATGTGATTGTCTCCGAAATTAAGTGGCTGGTCAGTGTTGATCGATGCTTCTTAATGTTTTTATGTTGATCATTTGTATTGGTGTTGTACTTTAAGTATTCTCTGAGGTAAATGTAAAGCAAAATGTCTATCCCCATCCACCTTTCCAATGGCATTCGAAATTCCCCAACGTATTGGAATAAACAAGTTGTTTGTATGTCCGTTATATTTATAAAACTGGGTGAGCACATTAAATGTCATCTTTTCGACCAGATGTGGATACGTATTTATACATCCCACACAGTCTAACTGATATGGCTACGTATCTATACATCCCGCACAGTCTAACTGATGTGGCTACGTATTTATACATCCCACACAGTCTAACTGATGTGGCTACGTATTTATACATCCCGCACAGTCTAACTGATGTGGCTACGTATTTATACATCCCGCACAGTCTAACTGATGTGGCTACGTATTTATACATCCCACACAGTCTAACTGATGTGGCTACGTATCTATACATCCCGCACAGTCTAACTGATGTGGCTACGTATTTATACATCCCGCACAGTCTAACTGATGTAGCTACGTATTTATACATCCCGCACAGTCTGACTAATGTGGCTACGTATTTATACATCCCGCACAGTCTAACTGATGAGGCTACGTATTTATACATCCCACACCATCCCACACAGTCTAACTGATATGGCTACGTATTTATACATCCCGCACAGTCTAACTGGTATGGCTACGTATGTATACATCCCACACACTCTAACTGATATGGCTACGTATTTATACATCCCGCACAGTCTAACTGATGTGGCTACGTATTTATACATCCCACACAGTCTAACTGATATGGCTACGTATTTATACATCCCGCACCGTCTAACTGATATGGCTACGTATTTATAACTGATATGGCTACGTAATTATACATCCCGCACAGTCTAACTGATGTGGCTACGTATTTATACATCCCGCACCGTCTAACTGATATGGCTACGTATTTATACATCCCGCACAGTCTAACTGATGTGGCTACGTATTTATACATCCCGCACGGTCTAACTGATGTGGCTACGTATTTATACATCCCACATAGTCTAACTGATGTGGCTACGTATTTATACATCCTGCACAGTATAACTGATGTGGCTACGTATCTATACATCCCACACAGTCTAACTGATATGGCTACGTATTTATACATCCCGCACAGTCTAACTGATGCTCCACTTTAGCAAGAGTAGTAATGCCTGACGGGATAAGTCCGAGGATGATCATATTTATTTACCAAAGTCAAACTTGGAGATGAATATGTCTAAATATCAAATATGTTATAATTTTCAATATAAAAAAGAAGATGTGGCATAATTGCCAATGAGACAATGGCATTCGAAATTCCCCAACTTATTGGAATAAACAAGTATAGCAAAAATATCAAACTTTTAAGTAAATTTAAAAAGGGTAAAGTCCGTAAAAACTGACAAAATCAAACGTAAACTTTATCAACCAACGGATCGCGTGGAAAACAGCTGTCATATTCCTGACTATGTACAGGCATTTTCCGAAGAAAAAGGTGGGTTAAACCTAGTTCATAGCTAGGTTAACCTCCCACTTGTACGACAGTTGTTTGTATGTCCGTTATATTTATAAAACTGGGTGAGCACATTAAATGTCATCTTTTCGACCAGATGTGGATACGTATTTATACATCCCACACAGTCTAACTGATATGGCTACGTATCTATACATCCCGCACAGTCTAACTGATGTGGCTACGTATTTATACATCCCACACAGTCTAACTGATGTGGCTACGTATTTATACATCCCGCACAGTCTAACTGATGTGGCTACGTATTTATACATCCCGCACAGTCTAACTGATGTGGCTACGTATTTATACATCCCACACAGTCTAACTGATGTGGCTACGTATCTATACATCCCGCACAGTCTAACTGATGTGGCTACGTATTTATACATCCCGCACAGTCTAACTGATGTAGCTACGTATTTATACATCCCGCACAGTCTGACTGATGTGGCTACGTATTTATACATCCCGCACAGTCTAACTGATGAGGCAACGTATTTATACATCCCACACCATCCCACACAGTCTAACTGATATGGCTACGTATTTATACATCCCGCACAGTCTAACTGGTATGGCTACGTATGTATACATCCCACACACTCTAACTGATATGGCTACGTATTTATACATCCCGCACAGTCTAACTGATGTGGCTACGTATTTATACATCCCACACAGTCTAACTGATATGGCTACGTATTTATACATCCCGCACCGTCTAACTGATATGGCTACGTATTTATAACTGATATGGCTACGTAATTATACATCCCGCACAGTCTAACTGATGTGGCTACGTATTTATACATCCCGCACGGTCTAACTGATGTGGCTACGTATTTATACATCCCACATAGTCTAACTGATGTGGCTACGTATTTATACATCCTGCACAGTATAACTGATGTGGCTACGTATCTATACATCCCACACAGTCTAACTGATATGGCTACGTATTTATACATCCCGCACAGTCTAACTGATGCTCCACTTTAGCAAGAGTAGTAATGCCTGACGGGATAAGTCCGAGGATGATCATATTTATTTACCAAAGTCAAACTTGGAGATGAATATGTCTAAATATCAAATATGTTATAATTTTCAATATAAAAAAGAAGATGTGGCATAATTGCCAATGAGACAACTCTCCACAAGAGACCAAATGACACTGAAATTAACAACTATAGGTCAGCGTACGGCCTTCAACAATGAGCAAAGCCCATACCGCACAGTCAGCTATAAAAGGCCCCGAAATGACAATGTAAAACAATTCAAACAAGAAAGCTAACGGCCTAATTTATGTACAAAAAATGAACGAAAAACAAATATGTAACACATAAACAAACGACAACCACTGAATTACAGGCTCCTGACTTGGGAAGGGCACATACATACAGAATGCGGCGGGGTTAAACATGTTAGCGGGATCCCAACCCTCCCCCTAACCTGGACAGTGGTGTAACAGTACAACATAAGATCGAAGTCTTTCAGAAGTCATATTGAGTAATGGTAATCAATTTCATTTATTATATTTGTTGTAACGCACAAAACTGAATTTTTGTTTAAATTGAAGGTAAAGATAAACATTTTATACATGTAATCAATTAACTTACATGTCAGTATTTAAGCCGTGATATAATTTTGTGTAAAGTGTTTATTTTTCTGTTTCTGCATGGGAAAATATCTGAGATTGCTGTTGATTAATATTTTCATTACTTGGTGAAAGTCCAATTTAATTTCCTGTCCCAAATTGATTTTATAAAATGTCAACATCAAATACAATTATAAATCTTTTCAGAAAGGTTTAATTTTAGTAGAATATTTGACAAAAAATCAAATAGATATTCCCTACAGAGATAGCTATGGATTCAAAATGGATTTATATAAACGTGAATGTCATTTCAACTGAAGGTTTTTGTATTTCTAAAAAATTAGTTAATTCACACATCTATAAATGACTTCTCATACATTATGTTGAACCTTAACTGAATAGGTAAAATAAAATTAATGTACACAAATGTCTGTTATTAAATACTATCAAGTCTACATAGAATATTTGAACAACAGCTTACTGCTTGAATAGAAAGGTACTATAACCCTACACTTCTTGCCTAGTAATTTTCATGCCTAAATTAATAATTACAGACGAACTAACGTATTAATCATAAGTCTAGAGGAAGTTTCATTCAGTTCTCTTATCTGTGTATTATATATACTACTATGTGAAATACAAATTACAGTTAGATAATATTAAAACTGAGTTCATAAAAGTAAATAAGAGTTAAAAATATGCTTCATTTAAATAAAATGTAACATAAACCATTATACATATAAGGTTAGTTTAGGCTTCATTTCCTCTTGACACATTCATTAAACATTTTAAAAGAGTATTACTTTGATATAGCAAATTTGTGATTTCAACTTACTGAAAAGAACTTATATAATTATCAATATGAAACATTCGTTTGTATTCATAACGTAAAACAAGAAAATTAAATTTAATCATGAACTGATAAATTGTTTTTGATTCGTGTTCAGCGGAAAATATTTGAATCAGAAAAAAAGATTTTTAACATAGGACGGGATACAACAGAGACACAATTTAGCACCTTTTTTGTATTTAACTAATTTTATAAGCAAAGTTGATATACTCAATAAATATAATATTCAAGTTCGGGACTATTCAATGTTCTCTGTTACTTGTAATGATTCAGAGATTAAAATCATTAATGAACTATTAATCTATTTAACCTATACAATTACTTGTATAATCTGTAAATTATATACTTTGCAGTGCTATTATGTCATCTTAATCAAGTGAATTCTGAAACTAATAGGCTTAGATTTCAACAATTAAAAATCACCGAAATAAACCATGTACAACGTCCAACTATAAAAAGATAGTTTTAATATTCGAGTTTAGTAAGTCTAAAATATTCTCATGGTGAGCCAAATTGACAGATAATTAAACCATTTGAAAATTTTTAAACTGTTAGAACAACCCTTTTTGTATAAAATAATGAATAGATAGACCTTTACTGGTGGGGGTTCCGTCACACATAAACATTTACTATACTGATGTATTGCAGGGTGATATACCTTTAGTCGTTAAAATTGTCAAAGAACTGATTAAATCTAAATCGTAAATTTCATTCGACCTTCCACAGTATAAGTTTTTTATGCCTGCACGTTATCTCTTTTTTAGAATATCTGTCATCGCTCGATCTATCCTTCTTACAGAACCTCCGAAAAAAAAAATATCGTTTCATTTTTATATCTTTTTCTGCATACATATTTACATTAAAGAAATACAGTCACCGATTTTACAGTGTAGAACGGCACGATTGCTTATCAGCAAGTTTAGTATATTTGGCATGCTTTCTGAAACTCCGATTGATCGATTGATTGTTGGTTGTTTAATGTCCAGTGGCAAATATTTCATGCATGTTCATGACGACTGTTACTTCGAGCAATCATTGGTAACGGTATAATAGTTTTTTTTGTTTTTGTTATACCGATATTGTTGTAAGCGCATGTTTAGCTTTACATCAATAGGTTTTGTCATTGTGATGTTAATTGCAGTCTCTGATATAATTCTAAAAAACATTTCTATACTCCATTCGATTCACAGCTTTAATTATTGAATAGACATTTCTGTTCTGTCGAAGATCTTAGGTTGACCTCAGTTTGTCTTTATTTTTTTGTGTCGTTGGGTTTCTGTATCACTGACGCACTATATCCAACACCCCTTTTTATTGACATACAGTGAAACCCCGTCGACGAACCTCGCCTTATGATAGATTTGTCTTCTAATTACACACCGTGTTTTTAAAAGTCACGCTTTAAATAGGCTTTACGTTCTTTATTTTTCTTTATAACTTAAGAAAATATAATGTACCCGTGATACAAAAGAATGTTTAATATAAACTGACGTTTGATGTATTGATCGTCATTTATATTATTGTCAAATGTTTTCATAAAACTTTTGAACTTTTAAAATTTAAAATTCAGAATTAACAAGTTATCAAGTTTTGTCACTTTGAGTTAAAACGTCTTATATTGTTATGAAACAAAGCAATGTTTATAGTGTTATAGAGGGGGAAAATAGCAACACAATCTCAGTATTTAAGTTTTAAATCCGTTATTATTTTTTTTTTTAAAAGTATCACAGTATTTCTCGGTTGAATGTACCCACTTAAGTATAAAGTAGAAGTTTGTAAAATGTTCATTTTTACCTTGCATTCTCTTATCTCAATATTTTGATATATAACAGATAAGTTAAACTATTTACACATAACTAGCTATCATTTATGTCTTGCTCTCTCGTTCAAATATTATATCTCCTTCTCTAGAAATATGTACATACATACATAACCTGCTGTGTTCAGTATCGAAATGTAGAAAAAAAACTCACCCAAGGTACCAGGCTTATGATTTTGTAGATCAACGCGACGGGCGAGTTTCGTCTACAAAAGACTCACCATTGACGCTCGAATAAAAAAATTAGAAGGCTAAATAAAATACAAAGTTGGAGAACATTGAGGACCCACCAATTCCGACAGGTTTTGTCAAATACAGCTAAAGTAATCTCGAAACTCATATTTCTACCGTGACACCCTTACGTACTTAACATACTTGTTCATCCCCCTTGAGGTCGTTATTAACACCTGAAGTTAAAACTATTAACATTAGGAATACTCACCTTCTTCAAACTTTTCTTGTGACTCCATCCATGTGGTTAAATCTTCTTCCCGGAATCGTTTTGCTATCAAGTTGTTCACTTCATCACCAGAAGAACGTAAATCCTTTAAACATTTATTTAAAAAGACAAATAAAGATTCATATTTCTTGTATGCATCTCTAAGTGATATAAAATCACCCTTAAATTTGTCTAAATCCATCACAAAATCGGACAATGGTTGATTATTTAACCGTGTTGTATACTCAGACATAAGATCTTTCATGTTTTCCATTAAATCTTGAACTTTGACCTCCAGTTCAGACACAGTCTCTACAGCATTGTCGATTTTTATATTCCTTCGGATTTGTTCAACAGATTCAACACCAACGTCATCTATATTTTGATCACGTGCCTCATCCATGTTTTGGTCGTCCTCGCGTGCTTGTGTATGGTCTTGACCATTTTCCTGTATCTCGTCTTTTGTTGGAACCTCGGAATCAACTGGTTGCTCCGGATTGTTCTCAGTATTTTTATTTTCATCCTGTTCGTTTTCAATTTTATCCTTAATATTATCATCACCAGTTTCATGTTCCTTTTTAAAATCTTCGTTTGTTCCCCAATCAGATATGTTTCTTTGTCGGGAATTAGATTCATTTACATTCGTCAGTTCTTCATCGTCACCTCTATCATGATGTTCCTTCCCTTCAATGTCACTTTCTTCAGAAAACACCCCATCATCGCCGTTTGTAAGGTGCACTGGCTGTTCCTCGCTTGCCTTTGTGGTATTAGTTCCTTCCATTTTTTCAGTTTCGACGTCTGAATCAGAATTTTTAACAGCTTGTCTCACAAGTTTCTGCCTTGCCATTGGCTTTTTGTCTATTTCAGTTATTGTTTCACTATTTATTTTGTCAGTATCAAGAGGCAATGGAGCGACTATATTTGAAATGGGTTCAATATCCTCCAAAGTATCGTCAGGACTTGAATTTTTCCGTGTTTCTCTATTTTTCCTATTTTGTGATTCCCTTTGTGCGTCTGTTAGTGTATCTGATAATAACGTTTTTGTGTCAATTGGAGGTTTTTGTTCGTTACCCTTACTGTTTACAGATTTATTTAACAAAGAAACGGCAGTTTCTTTATTCGTGAACTTATCAGACGTGGAATCCCCGGATGTTCTGACCTTTATTTTCGAACCTCTATCTTCAGAAGAGTGACCACCGTTTAATACGACAGGATCTTCACTTCTATACGTTGGAAACGAGTTATCGCTTATTGTAGCATCATCGCTTTCTTGTTCCTTTTTCTTTTCAAAAGTATCATCATCTACACCAGCGCATTTATTTTTTGAATTCTTCGAAAATGAAACAGAAATTTGAGAATGATTTTTTACCGAGATTTCGTCCTGGTCTGTTCTTTTATCAGAATGACTAATGATACTATGATCAGAGGATTTTATGTTTTGTTGTTTAGTCTCCTCAACGTGAATATGCTTTTTATGATCGATGCCTGCCTCCTGTTTGTTTTTGTCTTGGCAATATGACGGCCAACTTGTCTCTGTTAGTGTTGGATCATCATCGTCATCTTTATCTTTGTTGATATCCGAGTTATCCTTTGATTGCTTGTTGACATTTGTATTTTTCACGCCACCTGTTTTCTCAGTTTTGTTATCGCTTAACTCTGTTGCTGTTTTACTGTTTAATTTTGTTTCCGCGTTCTCAAAATCTTTGTTATCTTGACAATAAGATGGCCAACTTGACTCACTCAACGTAGCGTCGGCGTCACCTTTTTGATTTCCGGGATCAGACTTACTTACTGTTTTGGACTGTACCTTAGTGTTTGAATCAGTTTCGAACGTGTTGGAATATGCATAGGCTTCACTATTTTCTTGTTGATCTAAATCCTTCCTTGGAGTTGACGTTGACGATGGTTCTTCTTTACTTTTTTCTACTTCATTTCCTTCAAATTTGCTTGTAATTTTATTTTCTTTATTTTCACTAGTCACTATTTTCTTTGACACTTGTTTCTCGTTTCGATCTCTGGGTCCCTGTTTTACTGGTTTATTATCTGGTGCACTCCACTTGTCCCCATCACCATCGGAACTTTCAAATGAAGAAGAATACGAGTCGTTACTATATTCCTCCGACTGTTTAACACCGGTATCCACAACTTTGTTAACTATTGTATTATTGAACGAAACTTCTTGTTTATTAGTGACATTTAAAGTCTCGTCACCTTGAGTCAATACTTGGCGTTCTTTATTTGAATCTTTCCGATTTTTATTTAAATCACTATTTTCATTACCACTATTATCAATACAATTTAAAACCTCCGGTGGAGAAGCATTACTCCGTGGATTGGTCTGATCACTAACTGTATCATGATTTAAATTATTCCCATTAAAGTTTAACGCTTGTTCTCCGTCTAATTCGTTTTCATTAGAGTTTGTCATAAAATGAATGTCGTGATCTCTTGATTTTATCTTTGTTTTCTTTTTCCGACTTTCTTTAGAAGCCCGTCTTTGTTTGGTATAATTGTCCTTCACAAAAGATCCGTCATTTTCATGAAGCATTTTAATTAACACTTTTGTTACTATACTTAAGTACCTTTTACAATTCAATGTAAATTTAATATTTATCCATTTTATTTACGCTGTTTTGTATGTAATAGCCAATTTGTACACTTGGAACATGTCTTTACAATTAAAAAGGTTTGGAAATAAAATTTACACATAAATCTGGTATCGATCAAACTTTCAAGTTTTAAATTATAAGAGGCTTAGAGATAGAACAAAGAAATGGTTATATACCCTAAGTTTAGAATACAATCTGATTCAATCACTTTGTTTTGAGAGAGTTGTTACGGCATACAAACACACTCTAAGTAATCATATAGTACAGACATACTTATTTGTTGGTGTACGTGTGAAGTGTGTATATTACGGGCATACTTACATGTATTTGTTGGTGTACGTGTGAAGTGTGCATATTACGGGCATACTTATTTTTTGGTGTACGTGTGATGTGTGTATATTACGGGCATACTTATTTGTTGGTGTACGTGTGAAGTGTGCATATTACGGGCATACTTATTTGTTGGTGTACGCGTGAAGTGTGAATATTACGGGCATACTTATTTGTTGGTGTACGTGTGAAGTGTGTATATTACGGGCATACTTATTTGTTGGTGTACGTGTGAAGTGTGCATATTACGGGCATACTTATTTGTTGTTGTACGTTTGAAGTGTGTATATTACGGGCATACTTATTTGTTGGTGTACGTTTGAAGTGTGCATATTACGGGTATACTTATTTGTTGGTGTACGTGTGAAGTGTGCATATTACGGGCATACTTATTTGTTGGTGTACGTTTGAAGTGTTATCTTGAAAAACAATTCGTATTAAATCCGTACAAGACAAACAAAAGTCATGTTAACTTCTTTGAAGAGAAATACAGAATACACTACACGTGAATCATAAGTGAATATTTCTTTTTATAACGGTCAATTACGGTTTGTATAGTTTAATAACATATGTTTCTTAATTAAAAAAAAAAAAGGCGGAAGAAACCAGGGGAATATTCAAAATTTGTTGCCGTTGAAATCTAAAGCAAAGAGTACAATGTACATTTATCATTGTTTAAAAGAGTCTCGTGTAAAAAGGTAATTATAATTTGTTACCCTGCAAGAAAATTGGTGTACGCATTTTGTAAATACTTCGATTTCTTTGAATAACTTATGTATGTACACTATTTTTAAAGAACATTTATTGGTGAAGTTTGCGCAGAAAGATTGCAGGCTGGAATATAGTTGTCCATGCACCCTAACTATAGATCTTTGACCCTTACAATGCTAAAAATATTTACAGGCGTTTTAGCTTCATATTATCACTGTCAAGTTATACTAGTAACAAAAGAGAGAGCAAGCCTATTTATATTTTGTAAATGCGACAGTTAGATGTATTTAAATTATATACTAGCATCAAAGTGATTCATAGAGGATAGATAAACGTCAAATATACTTAGCTTTTTCTTAATTAACATAATGTGAGCATTAAGTGGGATTATCCTTATGTTAATTCAAATGTATACTGTTAGAAAAAAGGAAAACAAAATGCATGTATAATAACTTAACGATAAAACAAAAAAAAATATTAAAAAAAAAATTCTAAAAGGAAGCAATAAAAATAATTTTTAAAACATTTGAAATCAATTATTATTGACGTAGTTTTGGAAAAGTTAGACAAATAATCAATCATGGCTGACGTATATAATTAGGATATGTAAAGGGTTTATCATATCGAACTCAAGAGATAAGATCGTTTAAAATGTTTGAATTTCCACGTTATGCGACTGTACACTTGAATATTATATTGAATCACATGATAGCAACTAAATAAATATGTACACCAAACGTGAATTATAACAGAATTTAATAGTAAGTGTTTCTTTTCTGTCTTTCAGGTTTATCGTGTTATTACCAATGATTGTTGTGGTTTTAAAACTCTGAACTCGAACTGTAAAAAAGGACAGGTTGGATGGACTCCAATTAGACAGAGCCCTAACGACACAAAAGCAAAAACAGTATCAACAAACGGTCTTTCAAAGAAGAGGAAGACTACCCACTTCATTTGAACGTTGGTGGATAGTTGTTTCATTGGCAATCGCACCACATCTTATTATTACAAATGTATATTACTTCTACGTCATTAGGTATCTGGTGGAGAGTTGTCTCATTGGCAATCATACCACATCTTATTATCATATAACTTCTACGTCATTTGGTCCCTGGTGGAGAGTTGTCTCCTTGGCAATCATGTCACATCTTCTTATTAATTAAGATATATTACTTCTACGTCATTAGGTCTCTGGTGGAGAGTTGTCTCGTTGGCAATCATACTACATCTTCTTATTATCATATTACTTCTATGTCATTTGGTCTCTGGTGGAGAGTTGTCTCATTGGCAATCATACCACATCTTATTCTTATATAACTTCTACGTCATTAGGTCTCTGGTGGAGAGTTGTCTCATTGGCAATCGTATGGCATCTTCTTATTATATAACATCTACGTCATTAGGTCTCTGGAGGAGAGTTGTCTCGTTGGCAATCATACCACATCTTCTTATTATCATATTACTCCCATGTCATTATCTGGTGGAGAGTTGTCTCCTTGGCATTCATATCGCATCTTATTATCATATAACTTCTACGTCATTAGGTCTCTGGTGGAGAGTTGCCTCATTGGCAATCATGTCACATCTTATTAATTAAGATATATTACTTCTACGTCATTAGGTCTCTGGTGGAGAGTTGTCTCGTTGGCAATCATACCACATCTTCTTATTATCATATTACTCCCATGTCATTATCTGGTGGAGAGTTGTCTCCTTGGCATTCATATCGCATCTTATTATCATATAACTTCTACGTCATTAGGTCTCTGGTGGAGAGTTGCCTCATTGGCAATCATATCACATCTTCTTATTAATATATTACTTCTACGTCATTAGGTCTCTGGTGGAGAGTTGTCTCATTGGCAATCATACCACATCTTATTATCATATAACTTCTATGTCATTTGGTATCTGGTGGAGAGTTGTCTCATTGGCTATCATACCACATCTTATTATCATATAACTTCTATGTCATTTGGTATCTGGTGGAGAGTTGTCTCATTGGCATTCATATCGCATCTTATTATCATATAACTTCTACGTCATTAGGTCTATGGTGGAGAGTTGTCTCATTGGCAATCATACCACATCTTATTATCATATAACTTCTATGTCATTTGGTATCTGGTGGAGAGTTGTCTCATTGGCAATCATACCACATCTTATTATCATATAACTTCTATGTCATTAGGTCTCTGGTGGAGAGTTGTCTCATTGGCATTCATATCGCATCTCATTATCATATAACTTCTACGTCATTAGGTCTCTGGTGGAGAGTTGTCTCATTGGCAATCATATCACATCTTCTTATTAATATATAACTTCTACGTCATTAGGTCTCTGGTGGAGAGTTGTCTCATTGGCAATCATACCACATCTTATTATCATATAACTTCTATGTTATTTAGTATCTGGTGGAGAGTTGTCTCATTGGCAATCATAGCACATCTTCTTATTATTATATTACTTCTATGTCATTTGGTATCTGGTGGAGAGTTGTCTCATTGGCATTCATATCACATCTTCTTATTATTATATTACTTCTATGTCATTTGGTATCTGGTGGATCGTTGTCTCATTGGCAATCATACCACATCTTCCTGTTATTATATTACTTCTATGTCATTTGGTCTCTGGTGGAGAGTTGTCTCATTGGCAATCATACCACAACTTCTTATTATTATATTACTTCTATGTCATTTGGTATCTGGTGGATATTTGTATCATTGGTAATCATACCACATCTTCTTATTTCTATAGTGTCTTATAAACATCATATCAATCTCTTAATCGGGTCGGATACAAATACATATTGGTCATCTTCACCTAAAATGGACATTTTATAACAGTTACAAATGACAAGATTACAGGGAATCAGATGTGTGTTACTTGTATGCATTGCCATGCAATACAACATGTTTTTGCTACGCATGCGTGCGTATTCTAGTTTTTTTTTCTTCAAATGTGTTGACATTCAGTTAAGCAACATAAATGAAATTTAGAACTTTAGTAATGGGGTGTTGAATCAAAAATGCATGTAATAAGGGGATGAAAACAGTTGACAGAAAGAAGCGTTCGTCTTTACTATTGAATTGACATTAGTAAAGCAAGAACTTATCTATACATATAGGTCAAATGTATTTGTTCAGTGTATGTTCACTAGTGTTAATATGTCCTTTGATTGAGTTAAGCTATTTCAGTTGATATTTTATAGTGTGTCTTTCTATGTTGTGATGTTACACTATTGTTTCAGAAAAAGGGTGAAGGTTTGGTACCATTAAAACGTTTAAACCCGCTGCATTTGTTTGCACCTATCCTAAGTAAGGAATCTGATGTTCAGTAGTTGTCGTTTGGTTGTCGAGTGGTTCATAAGTGTTTCTCGTTTCTCGTTTTTTATATAGATTAGACCGTTGGTTTTCCCGTTTGAATGGTTTTACACTAGTAATTTTTGGAGCCCTTTATAGCTTACTGTTCGGTGTGAGCCAAGGCTCCGTGTTGAAGACCGTACTTTGACCTATAATGGTTTAATTTTATAAATTTTGACTTGGATGGAGATTTGTCTCATTGGCAACCATACCACATCTTCCTATATCTATATAACCAAAATAGGTATTAACAAAAATACAAAACTCCAAGGTATATTGTTAAAAGGTGAAAGTCTATATAACATGACAAAAT